TTGGTCAGCAGCATGTTTGGAACGTAGCTGCACTAGACTAGGTAGTGTCCTGGAGTGTGAATGGCAACTTTGTGTTCATGGATTTATTGTAGTTGTAAAACTAACGCAGTGTGAAAAACTCTTTACCGTTTCTAATTTCTGCAGCTGCCATGTGAAGACCAGATCATCCTTCTGAAAGGCTGCTGTATGGAGATAATGTCCCTCCGAGCAGCAGTTCGCTACGACCCTGAGAGTGAGACTTTAACACTAAATGGGGAGATGGCCGTGACAAGGGGCCAGCTGAAAAATGGGGGTCTTGGCGTAGTGTCTGATGCCATTTTTGACCTGGGCATGTCTCTTTCTTCATTCAACCTGGATGACACCGAGGTTGCCCTTCTTCAGGCTGTTCTGCTCATGTCATCAGGTGAGAATAGAAATATATTGGGACCTCAACCATTTTGCAACTCTTTAGTCTTTGTCACAAGCCTGTTTTTAAAAGAAATAGGGTATGTTAGATCTTGCAGTGCTGAGTAATGTAGAAGAAATTCTTTCAAAATCCTTGTGCAGCTTAGAAATACTTCAGTGAGCACTAGGAAAAAAAATCAGGGTATTCAGAGAAGTGGGCATAAAAGTGGCTTTGGTAGCACACCTTGCTCAGTTTAGTACTTAGGGAGGAGGCAGGGATGATCATCAGAAACAAAACAGACCTGGTGCTGAGCCAGTTTGCCTTGAATGAAAAACCGATGTTTTAGCAATGTTTGTCCTTACAATACCATCTTCCCCTAGGCACTGCCATGCACTGGGCTGGAAGTACAGGTCATACATGTTTCCATCAGCTGTGCGTGCTTTCTTGTTTTCCTACTTAACAGCACCACTGCTTGCTAGAGGGCATTTGAGAGCTGTGCTGTTTCCCCACACTGGAACCAATTGCAACTGGTCTCTTGGTGACGTGATACAGAGGCAACACAGACCATTTTTCCAAAAAGTTTTTTCCCCTCTCAGATCAAGTATGTTTTCAAATATGCTTCCATTGACTCAGCCAGCCCAAAGAGGAAATTCCGTTCTTGGGCAGTGGCAGATTTGGCGAGGTTTTGTTTTAAGGCCACTTTGAACATTGGGCACTAAATAACAATACACAGACAGTGATGTAAAAGCATTAACTGTGTCTGGGACAGAAAGATTTCCACATTAATCACAGCAGCACTTGACCTTCCCAATCAAAACATTTTGATTTTTTTTTAGTTCCCTACA